AGCTCTCCTTGTTCTTCCCTGCATGAATGCAAGAGCTCTTCCTTAGCAGAAACTGCATCTCCATGGTGCACTATGCATGGGGACAGCACAGACCCTACTGATGACATTTTTCATTTTGTCACCGCCTACGTGGCCTATGGCATTCAAACCACATTTTCTTTAAACTGAATGCCTTCACCTTTTATTTGAATGTCTTCTTCCCTTTTTAAAGTGGATCTGATAAGTTTCTGGCACTCTCATTTTATTTTATTTTTTATTTCCACTTCCCTTAGAGGTAAACCTAGTGTTATTTGATTTTCCCATGTGGCAGTGGGTAAAACAGGTTTCTGATATTTCTCAACATTTTTATTATCTTCAAAGAAATGACAATACATAGAATTGACCCAGTGTGCAGGCAGTGTGATAAAGATGTGTAGGGTCATCTGAATTTGGGATCCAGTCCTGGTCTGAATCCTGTCAGTGACCACAGGAGCAAGAGCTGTAAATTTTTTTTTAAAAGACATTATTGGAGACTACAAATTTGCAGATGTTTTACTCTAGCATTAGAGAGAAATACAAACATTATGATACTTGACTGTTTTTAAATAGAAGGACTGAGGAATGCATTCTCTATAGACCTAAGAAACACTGTCCAGAGTAACTGAAACTGGTATTCTGTGCCAAATGAAGATGTGGTCCTTGATTTGGGTGCAGGAACTACTGTAATACATTCCTGCACCACTAATAATATCAAGAGGAAATTTTAAATTCATGGGGTGTTTCTCACACTACTTTTTCTTTTTTTTTAATGCAGATACAACTTTTTTATCATTTTGTATCCTGCTGGAGTTGCAGGTGAACTGCTAACCATATATGCTGCTTTACCCTATGTGAAGAAAACAGGAATGTTCTCACTGAGACTTCCCAACAAATATAATGTCTCCTTTGACTACTATTACTTCCTTATTATCGTCATGTTCTCCTATGTGCCATGTAAGTATTGCTTAACAGGAGTAACGCTAACAGCGTAATACAGTTTCGGCAGTGCTGGAAACACTGCCTGTAGTTAAATTTGCTGGACACTTTCTACTACAAAAGCCTGCTTTCTGTTGCTCCAAACTTTGCTGTGCTTTAATTTTTCAGTTTGCAGAATGTCTGTATGTTAGTAAATACTTATGATAAAGAACTGTATAGACTGTATATAGACTGTAAAAATAGACTGTAATTTTCCATCCTGTTAGCTGCCTCAGAACATAAGTTGTCTTAAAATTTTAGTGAAAACGCTAAAAACATTTCTAAGACTTGGACAAAGCAAAAACCCTTTGCTTACACACAGAAATGTCTGTAACTGCCGCTGAGAATTTCTAGTGCCTCTGCTGCTTCGTAGCAGTGGCTTAAAAATTGTCCTGCAGGTTGTACCAGAGGTTTGCCTTCTTTTTATTGTTATTAATACCCAGTTGTTACTAATACACATTTACTTGTCACCTCTGAAAATCACCATTTGAGCAATATTCTGTAACATTTCATTTTCACAGAAATTCACCCCCAAACCTCTCCAAAAATACTACAGCCCCTGGTTTAATCAGATTGTCCTTCTGCTTCTGGATACCAGAAGGCACAGATCATTTAGCTAACCAGAGCTGAGATTAGAGAGACTATCTGTCTTGCATTCCCAGTGCTATTTCCACCGGCACCTAAGCAGCGTAGGCAAGGAGAAAACAACGCGATTCTGATACAGCCCCACGAATGGGGCTAGACCAAACTAGACAAATAGAATATTTTAGATAGTATATCCAGTGAGGCAAGGAACAAGGCAAAAGATTAGGGAGAGGCATTGAGAAGAAGGAAGAATTATGTTAAAAGCATCTGTGATCTGCGTCCCTAAAAAGTATGCATTTAAGAAGTTGACCTTAAACGCGGACTTTCACAATCTGCACACACACTGTGAAATTTTTTGTTACAAGAAATTTTTTGTTACAAGAAACAAAATTACAAAAACTTTGTTACAAAGTTTCTAGGAGTAAAAATTGTCCTAAGCTATCATAACTTACTAACCATTTTACAATTGTTTATATAACTTACTGCTTCAGGAATAAATACAATTTGCTATCCATTAAATATAAGGATAAAGTGTATGAGCAGGTCAGTAATATAATAGATCTCAGAGGGCCAGGAGAGAGGGAGCTCCTCACTTCGGATTTGAACAAGTTGGGTAAATTTGTATCCTCCTCAGAGTCTGCATTCAAACATGCTTACCTTAGCACAGATTTGAAGACTTCAGGCGCTGCCGGAAAGCGGTTAAGGCCTGTTCGTGCAAAGGAAGCGTTGGAGGGAAGTTCCTTGAACACAGGCTATACATTCAGGGGGCCTTGTCAGACTTCTGCATAATTACTGTTTCCTAATTCACTGCCGTGTTCATGACTTGCTGTTATTTACCTTAACCAGCTGCAGCACTGTGTGCCATAATTTTTCCTCACTTCATAATTCTGCAAAATTGTATTTTTCCATTATGTGTTCTGTTGATTTTTTTTCCCATCTAATTTGCTTTTTTTCTATGCTTGGATCAAGTATTTCCACAACTCTACTTCCACATGCTGCGGCAGAGAAGAAGGGTGCTTCATGGAGAAGTGATTGTGGAAAAGGACGATTGACTCAAGCTGTGTAACTATGGTGCTTTTAATGGAAAAAAAAGAGGGTAAAAAACCAAAACTTCCTGTGATTTTTCTGAGTCCAAGTTTTAAAACATGGAACAAGAATAAACAACTGTGCATAAAATAGCATGGACTGTATTATTTTTACAGTTAATGTATCTTCAGACTTACCTTTTCATCCTTGGTTTCACTTTGATTTTTAACAGTTTATTTCTTCAGACAAATTATTTTCCTATTTTCAGTATGTTGACAAATAGCTTTAAGAACTGAAAGAGTTGGCTACTGTGCTTTCTATTCTGAAAGTTCTGTTACGACCTGTAGCCATCATCAAGAACAGAAGGAGAGTTGATAAGTTGTACCGAAAGCCAGCCTTCTGGAAAACAGAGCATAAATTAGGTAATGATGGCTAGGTGGCTTAAACATTATTTACGCTTTATATTAAATACCTTTCCAGTTACAAGTACTGCTAGCATGTTGTTCAACATTCTTTGAATTACAGGATCATGCTGTAGAATTCCAGAAGGAGCTGAGTTCTTGCTTGTCAGTACAAATTTAAATCTCTCTGTATTTTCAGTTGTGAATTTAAAGATAGGTAGGATAATCAATATAGTATTAACTGGTTAAAAGGTTGTGCTGAGGAGTAGACTTGATGTGCATACCTTTCTCTGATTGGTGGCTGGGCTGGGACTCGTTTGCAGAGGAAGACTGATTGTCAGCATGTTTCCTATTCTACGTTTAATTGTGTATGCAGAAAAGTTACGGCATTGCGTTCAGAAGCTGTAGCTATAGTGAGATATTTAACTTCTTATAAATAGCTAAGTGGGATAAAATATATTTGAAACAGCGTCTTAAAATATAAATTGTGCTTTGAATCATCCCCTTGTGCAATTTTAATTGCTCCCTCCCCATTAATTGTTTATACTGTGTTGGACTAATTCTATGTAATGTCTTCAGTAGTCTGCAAGAGGGATCTATGGTATATGAATAAAAGTTACAGATGGTATTACACTTTATGATACCTGAGTGGGGGAGATCCAACAGATGAATTAAATGTAGACAAGAATTAGACGCAGCCTGAGAGATTCAGAGAGAAGGTAATGCATTTGGGTAAAAATTGGATACTTAGTGAGAGAGAGAGAGAGAGAGAGAAGAATGAACTGTAATAATGTAGTACGAAGCCTTGGTAGTGTAGGGGACAAAGTTGCTTCTGGCATCACTAATGTCAAAAGAAGAGTATATATGCAGAAGAGCTGCATCCGGCAGCTGGAAATCAGAGTACTCCTTGTGATTGCTGAGGAAATTTCTGGAGTATGGCCTCACATTTTGAGTGCCTCAGGGGTGAGGAATTGAGACAATCTTCAGAAAAGTCAGAGAACAGTAAAAAATCAGTTGATGTGAGAAAGAAGTCGGAAAGATTGAGTCGTTAAGTATGTGTAATATTTTTGTTATGGGACAAATAGATGTAAAGGAAGAGACTTTCTAGAACTGATTATGTACATTTGAAACAAAGCAAATATCCAGTGAAGATCAGGAGAAAGATCCTATCAATGAGATCAGTTAGGTTATGGAACAACACAGTAGTGCTTATCAGTGCATGCCATTTCTTGGAAGGTTTTAAGTCAGATGTAATGCAATAGTGGAAAATAATTCTTCTTTGGCAAGAGTTGAACTACATACTTGAATAGGCAATTTCCATTTTTAGCTTCAATGATTCTATGGTAATACAGCTTTTTTGAAAATTGTAGATACACCTTTTTCTGGTGTTTCAGGTAATTTGATGAAAAAGCAAGGATTTACTACATCCCTAACTTTCAAATTCCATTTTGTGCCTTAAATTTGTGCTATTTATGCATGTCTTCATTGCATGTAAATTAGTTTCCTTTTAAGTGACAGGTGCATAGTGGACTTGAGATAGAGTAGCTGTATTTCTTACAATTTTAAAAGGTACAGTACGATCTTTGTATTTTTTAGAACAAATTTCACGCAGGGTGCTATAATTTAACTTGTTACTTCTCTGTTTTATATGCAGCTAAAATTATTAAATTATTAAAAGTTTAAAATATAAAGTAATTTTACGACACTGAATCACAAAATAGTTGTGTTACACATGTTCTTACCAGCAGTTGTATTTGTCAAGAGTTCTCAGAGTACTGTTTCTTCACTTGCTTTTTGATCCATGAGGAACATCATGGAAGTTTTTCTCGATATTTCTCAGTTAGCAAGCAGAAGACTGTAATGAAATAAGAGCGACTAAGATTAGATTAAGTTCTGTGTCTCTTTTTTACTGTCAGGGCAGCTCACTGAAGACCATAGCTATCAATTCATTGGAAATGCCTTGGATACTTTAAGGATGTGCTTTTGAAATCCTTGATCAGATGAGTGTATCCCACAGATACTACTCCAGTAATAAAAGGAATACCTGTTATACTGTATTATATTTGTTTTCGTTGTAGCATAAGGATATTATCATATATCAGTCAAGGAGCTATTTTTATACCCTTTTTGTACACGTGGCATGAAAAAACCACAGCACTGTTTGCTAAGATCCTGGGTTTGCACTTTCCTGAAGCAACAGCGTACAAGGTAAGGAGACAATCTTGCCAAATGACAAATGAATAAAAATAAAGCTAAAATTAATTAAAAGTATTGCATTCAGTGTTTCATAGACCAGAGAGATTGCCATGCAGATTAGTTTAGATGGCAGGTACTTTAAGAAACACAAGCAAGTCTTTTGTTCCTCTTTTTTCTTTTGATTAAAGCCTGGCACTGAAGCCTCAATGTATACCTTTTGTTGTAACATCCTTTCAAAGACAGTGGGAATTGCAGGTAAAATTCTCTTACCATTGACTTCAGATGGGCCAGAGTTTTATCCTAGGTGGCTTACTTAAACTTCAGTATAACATTGTGAAACATATAATGAATGTGTTAAATGGACATAAAGAGTTAAGTATGATTTTCATATGGTGCTCTCTTTCCAACTTCTTTTTGACACCTGTCTTTTTGTCTTCTTCTCTTCAATATTCCTAGTTTTCTAAAGCATTGAAATCTTCCTGTTTATGAAAGATTAGGAATGTATCCAAACATCAGTGTCTTTACTGTTTTGATGTAGTCTTTAACAAATTGTTTGTATAAAGGTGTTTTCTTACTTGTGCTGAATATGCCTTCCAGAATGCATTAATATAGAGTGTGACCTTATGAAGCTTTTTTAATGACAGTGCATAGGAATAGGCATTTGGAAGGAGATTCCTATTCATTAGGTGACATCTACTATTGGTAGTAACATAAACACACCGTCCTTTTTGTAAGCTCCAGCTGAAAGTAGTTGGATTTCTTGAGGTTCCCCTCAACACACACACACTGTTCCTGCTGGGAAAGGCTGTTTCAGGACAGATTGGGCAAATCATCTTGTTTCACCCAGAATGTCCAGAGGCCAGATCTTGGCCTCAGGGCATGGGCAGCGTAAAGGAATATGACACTGAGAAATCACATCTTCCCCATTAGCTGCCAAAAGGGTCACCGAGGCCATTGTGAACAGCAGCTGATCGATGTCATTTGTGTCACCTCCAACTACGAAGGAGGTGACAAGAGAGGAAGCTCAACGTGGTGTCATACCTTCTGCCCAGGGAGTTCATGAGATCAGCTGGGAGGATCTCTGTGCACAAGGGGTGTGTTACAGAAAGGGCTTTTCTGCTCCTCTCAGCCATCTTATTACTATCTGTAAGCCTATATTTCTTGAAATACTGGTATGCCCAGGTAGCTATGCCACACTGTTCTCAATAGTATAGTTCAAAATTAACATCCTTGGAGAAACGGTGCAGTGTGCTGTTTCTAATTCCCACTGAACATGACATTTAGCCAGGTTCAGGTTAACGGGCAGGTTGCAATGACTGCTTAACAGGGAGGTGCATGGAGACCTTTTCTGTGGGCAGGGGGAACCTACCTTTTCTTACCTGGAAAGAAATATGTGCATTTTAAATCTAGGTCTAGCTACTGCTCTGACTGTGGAACTTGCAGTCTTCACAGTAGCTTACTTCAGTGGATATTTGGACATGTATATGATTACCAGATAAACTAGAAAGAAAACAAATTACAGCCTTTACAAGAGATTATAATTTAAGGTAGTTGCCACACTGACCTTTTTTGTGAATTCAGCTTTTACTTAAGCTGCCTTAGGAAAAAAAGGAAGGAAAGTTAATACAAATAAGTGTTGTGCACTAGGCAGGAAGGCTTCATAAATCAAAATTTTCAGGCAGGCAAACTAGCTGCAGTTGTTTATAAAGGGTTGGTTAAATGTGGTTTTGAAGAAAAAGGTTGGAAGCTTTTCTGAAAATTAAATTTTGTATCACAATGTATATTTCAACATGTGCTCAGAGATACTGTATTATTTATTACCAGTTTACACTTTAAATTCATGCTGAACATACACTTTTTATAGAGGATTAACTGTAGCCCATTAAAATGTTTAATTCTTTGTTGTTGCAATTGAGTGTTTAAGAAGCAAACATCTCATCTTTCTGAAAAGTGCCGTGTTCCTTGCTCCAGTGAGCCGCAGTACTGCTAGTGCCTACTCAGCTTTGCAAGGCTGTTAAAGTGGTGGGTTAGTGTTTGCCAAGGACAGCTCCTTAAACTGGCTTTCCTGATGGCACACCTTACTAGTGGGTGGTACTCTTGGTTCAGCCACTGGTACTGTAAGCCACCCGTGCCCTTCTAGGGGTCTTGAGTGCCCTCAGTGGGACTGGGGGGCTTTACCGGTGCCAGTAGGTGGTTCATCCTCACAAATGACCAGGCTGTCTTGTCAACTCTTAGGTCACAGAAGTGAGTCTGACAGGTCAGTTTCAGGCTCTGCCAAGACAAACTGTGGAGAGCCTGGATGTTGGGTGACTCCCGCCCTCTCGGAGGAACTTGCTGTCAAGTTCAGGCCTGTAACTGGCAGTGGCTTTCGAGTCCTAAAATGTACAATTCTTACTGTGTCATGTTGTACCGACTGAAACATGTTGTCTTTTTATTCACAGCTCTCTTGCTTCTCTGTTCAGTCTTGAATGTATTTTATGTCCTTTCAGTTGATGGCTTTGTAAAGTGTAAGTACAGAAACACTTATCTAAGTGTATCATGTGTAGA